TGCATGGGATGACCCTTTCAGCTTCAGGTCTAACTTTCATCCCGGGCAAAATGAACGGACAATTGAAGATGAGCTTTTCTGTCTGAAAGCTTATCTTTTTTCCTGAACTGTGAGTTGATATAATAAAATATACTACCACTGCCTACAGACTAAGCCTATCGTAATTTATGCCATTCAGTGTAGCTTTTGGGAGCTTGGGTCATAGTCAACGAATGCGATACTGTGTTTTGATGCAATCAAATGCATTTGATAAAGGAACTAAGGCAGATGTACTGTTTTGTTTGGGGTTTTTTTTGTATAAAGTGTACCTCTGTACAGTGTTGGACACCCCATGTCCTCACTTTTGTGTAGTGCTGATCTGTTGTGCAGCATTTCTACATTAATTAGAGAAAAGTGTAACAGAAGAATTGAAAAGCAATGGAAGTTTGAGACTGGTGTGGTGTAGTGTGGAACTCCTAAGGAAAAGCTCATCTTCATTAATGGCAGGCTTATGTAATGAGACACAGACTAATTTCTTCTTTCTCTGTGAAAGTGTTTAATGAAAACTTAAATCCCAAGAAACTTGGGATTTAACTATTTATCAAGAGTGCTGCATCATGAACATTAAGGCAGACGGAGTTTGGCCCTTGGTAAAGACGTAGCCCTAATTCTTAATTGCATTAGTATATCTAATGAGAAAACCTTTAATTCTCCAACAACAAAAAGAATGTAAAGAAATAGATCATTTTAGGCTAGCCTCTCCTTATAGTAATCAATGTCATAACTAATATTGCTGTATCATTTCTTTATCAGAAAAGACTAAAATACATCAAAGTTTCCAGAAAACATGTTGTCAGGTATTAAGATCATAAAATTTACCTTTTTTTCCAAATTCTTCCCAAATATATAAATTAAGTTTAGTTCCAGTTGGATTAATGTGTTCCACTACTCACTCATATGCAAAAACTATTAGGATTTTGATGTGGTAAGGTCAAACAGTGGAATTTAAGTATAGTCTTTATTCTTAATATGTTAAAATAGTTTTGAAATTTAAAACAATCTGTAATGTAAAATAATATCTTTGGTCTTCCAAGCAGGAAAGAATTATTAGGGAGCCTTGTGCAAGCAGTGAAATATATTTTCATGGTCTCCAACACAGTAATGAAAAACCTGAGGTCATGTCTTTTGGAGTGAGTTTTATATAACATCTTCTTCATGGCTTGATTCCACTGATCTTGACACTCTGCAACAGCAACAAAAGGAAGTGGTTTTTAACCGTATAATTTTTTCTATGGAACTGACAGGTTGTGGTAGGAGTATGGGTACTACAGAAGGATATGTGAGTTTTGTGTAGCATGTAGATTTGTTGTTACTACAAAAAACTCGCTACGACCGCATCTTTTCCTTGTAATTACATCTGTAGATAGGAAGCTGAGGAGTCACACGTGGAAGAAATTACTCTTCCACCCATTTTATCTGAATGTATTACAGACCTTTAAAGTCATGATTCTGAATTCAGCAAGTTAGGTAGGGGTATGTAACAGCATGTTTTGTCATGTGCTAAATAATTGCTAGTTAGATAGCTATTAAAAGTCAATAACTTGAAGAATATATAAAAGCATTATTATTTCAGGTTTGTCCTTGAAATGTGGATCAAAGTTTATGTTCATTGTACAAATGAGTCATTACAAGAATGAAGAGAGCAGTAAAGGGTATCTCTACTTTATGTTAAGTGTTTGTGTAGGTTAAGTAAAATTGTTATATAAAGATTTTCTAAATGGAAAATTAGTTTTGCAATCTGGGGAGAAGGAAATAAAAATAAACAGTAGGTAAACAAATCCTTTTAATGTTTCAGTCAGTGAAGAAGAGATGGAAAGACAGACCCTCCACAGAGTTTCCATCATAGCACTAATGGTCAAAATGTCTTTCGGTGTCTTGGACCAGTTTTGATAGCTTTTACCTTTGAAATATCTTTATTTAAGTCAACGCAGCCTCTCTTTGTAAATACCAATTTAGTGCTTTTTTACACTAGGAGGGAAAAGTTCTCTTGTGGGTCCAGAAAGTGCAGCCCTTTCTGTCTAACCTATGAACTCTGTCTCTTGTCCATCAATAAATATACATATTATAATTTATGTGAATGTTAAGTTCTCTCCCTGCAATATTAGATGCCCCTGAATGGAGCAGGCAAGATTTCTTTGAGCATCTTATTTTCAATATTGATACACACGAAGTTTTATTATGGTGTTTTGTTTAAAAAAAACTTTGTAGAACAACATTTGTTCTGGTATTAGCTTCTTTCAACTGTGTTTTAAAGATGCAAAATAGTAAAAACCTCAGTTTCTTAAATATGAAGGCTTCTTGGATAGAACTCTTGGCTTCTTTATCTTTTTACTTCATATTAAAAGAAAATCTGAAAGGAGATTGTATCTGAAAAAATTTAACACCATCTCCATGACAACCAACTAATTAATGGCTGTCGGTCTGGCTTTGGTCCTCTTCAGTGAACTGATACTCCCCAGCTTTATTTCACATATCTTATGGGTTTTCTATGAAGGTAATTTATTTAGCGACAGTGTTTCTTTGGGGAAAGCAGCCTTTTAATATAAGCAACAACTTTCTTTAAAAACAACTCAATCTTACCTGTGGTGTCCTCTCAGATTTGCTTCCTGCACAGTAGTAGGGAGGTTTTGAGGTTGGTTTTTTTTTCTTCTTGCTTTTCCTGGTATTTCCATTTTTTCTATTGGTCGTAAGTGTTCATTATGTGTATTGTGACCATGACCACACTGCAGTACAGGTATTCCCAAGCTAAGTTTGGATCTAAGTAGCGTACTAAGTAGGAGAAATCAATCGCCAGCAGTGTGATGTTTAGAGTGGACTAAGAGTTCAGGTAGTTACTTTGCTTCTTGGCACAGATTTTGCAGGTCTGAGCGCCTCTTGCTGCACTGCTGTCACTGTTCCTGCTTGCGTGGTTGTCGTGGTTTAGCCCCAGCCGGCAGCTAAGCACCACACAGCCGCTCACTCACTCCTCCTCCCCCAGTGGGACAGGGGAGAGAATTGGGAAAATCCTCGTGGGTTGAGATAAAAACAGTTTAATAGGACAGCAAGAGAGAAGGAAACAACAATGACAACAATAATTCCAACAAAGGAATGTACAAGAACAAGTGATGCCCAATACAGCAATTACTCACCACCCCGCAATCGATAGCCCGTTCCCCAGCAGCCATTTCCGCCCCCCGGCCAACTCCAGTTTATGTACTGGGCATGACGTTGTATGGTAGGGAATATCTCTTTGGCCAGCCTGGGCCAGCTGTCCTGGCTGTGTCCCCTTCCCAGCTCCCCCGGCCGCCCCAGCCTGCTCGCTGGCAGCCCAGCACGAGGAGCTGGACTGTCCTTGACTGCTCAGCAACAGCTCAAGCCATCAGCACCTTATCAACAGTTTCTCATCCCAAATCCAAAACACAGCCTCACACTAGCTTCTGTGAAGAAAACCAGCTCTATCCTGGCTAAAACCAGGACACTAGTGTAAAGTCATCTCTACACTATCTTGCAGTCAAAATTTCTGTGATGTTGGAGGTACTTGGAATCAATCAAGTTACTGGCCACGGTTATTGCATCACTTTTGACATTATAATTATGTTTAGGAGGCCTGGTAACTGTATTACTGTTGCAAGTAATTGGCAGCTTTCCCCTGTGATAGCAGTCTTCAGCCTGTGAACTGTAAGAACAGAATGTCTGTAGGTGGTGAGACCAAATGCCCATATAGCTTAGTACCTCGTCTTTCCCACCAGCCTTTCATAGCAGATACCTGTGATAGACTGTAGGGACAGGGAATGGATGAGGTGATGCAGGATATTTGCCCCAGAACATTTTCCCAATCTTCAACTGTCTGTGGCTGAAGGAGTTCAAGGCTTGCAAGCAGTAAAAAGAAGAGTGAAAGCTGAGGCTAGGAAAGAAGGATAATTCCCTATCCTGAATATTTCTTGTGTTTTTAAGTTTTCATTTTCTTTCTGGATGACTGGTCACTGCCTCTTACACATTAAATATGTTTCTACGTACAAATTTATATATGTTATGTGCTTACTATGGGAGGAGAGTGAAAACAACTGAGTATATCCCTCACTCCTTTTCACTGGTGCATGTTTAGTTCCATTTTTTGTGCTTTCCTGTCATGTCTCATGGATATATTAATCGCTTGAAGTTGCACAAATATATTTACTCTTTGGGTGCCTTATTTTTTGCAGACAGTTTGTGGGCCACCTCAATTATCTCATGTAATTTAGTAGTACTTATGAGAGAGGGATGTTGACGTTCAGGTGTAGTTATGAACTCTACTGAAAATTAAAGTAGTGCATTAAAAGGGTTGCCAGGAGATTTCTGTAGAAAAGCAACAGAAAAATATGAATGTTTTATATACTGTTGAAGGTGCAGAAATACATATAATGTGCTGATATGCTTGCTTTAAGTTGTACATAAAACTATAAAGAAAGCAAAAATCTTGTGGTAACTCCCTTATTTTTCTTCATAAGTAGCAAGTCAACAAAACAGATTCAGAAGGGCAAGAGGCACTGGGAGAGGCTGGAAATAATTTTAGATAGTTTCCTTCATAAGCTGATTTTTAAATTTTTTTTTTAATCACTTTGTGGGCCAGCTGGAAGAAGTTACGACTGAAGACAATAGATATGGATATTTTACATAATGAATGACAGAAGAGTGGATCTAAGCAGATGTTTAGTACTCTGAATTTGCATGAGGTGAAGTGGCGAAAGGAAACTTGCACCAAAACCAATACTGTATTGGAGACGAGTTAGGCTGCAAAATTGACCTTGAAGTTGGGAAACGTTCTTTGTGGTATTAGATTATGTCTGTTCTGAATCATTGTCTTTCAACTACTTATTTGACATTGCGATATATTTGCACTTAGAATAACATATTAATGATTTCTTCTTTTTTCTTTCCTTTTTTTGTTTTTGTTTGTTTTGTTGGTTCATACATGACATGCTACTGAACTGGTGCATATGAAGATTGCTGTGTTCACTGTATCCTGGCTTGCTTGTTCTGTGAATTTCTCACCCTCTGTAACATTGTTCTGGGACAAGCATCCTGTGGCATCTGCACCTCGGAGGCCTGCTGCTGTTGCTGTGGGGACGAGGTGGGGGATGACTGTAACTGCCCATGTGATATGGACTGTGGCATAATGGACGCATGTTGTGAATCTTCAGATTGCTTGGAGATCTGCATGGAATGCTGTGGGATCTGCTTCCCATCATGAAATATTTATCCCTTTTTATTTTATTCTCTATAAAACTGGAGAGCTTTTCTTTAAATACTTTTGAAGAAAGACAAGGTAAGATTTTCACACAGCCAACTGGTATTGCACTGTTAATTCCCTACATATAAATATATTTTTTAAAAGCGATCCTCAAATCTGTGTTCTAACACAAATTGTATAGTTTTGTATGTGAAACTCGAGCTACATTCCAGCTTCATTTTGGTTTTGCAAATGGAAGACTTTATTGAAACCGAATTACAGGCCTGATACTGCAGGCTGTATGAGGGCAAAACTGCCATTAGAACTGTGTGACAGGTTTTGGTCAGAGAAGAGACTACAGGGCAAAGCCTTAAGTATTTGCCTTTACCTACCTTAATGTTGCGCGAATGCCTCCATGCATAACATGCCTTTACAGGCATTCTGAAAAGCAAAATGTCTTTATTTCAGTCTCTTTGGGTTGAAAGCAACTTTGCTCTGTTGTTTTAAACTTAATTCAAAAGTCAGTATCAGGAATCTACTATTGGTTTTGCTACAGTGGTCACATCATTGGCAAGATTTCTTTTGTTTTGAACGTCTCATTGGTTTGTGAGAGATTGCTGGTATTTTCCATTGCCAATATTGATGCTAAGGGAAGATTTGGCAAACTAAAGTCACTGTAGGTTTTGCCATGGAATAAGAGTACCGAGATACTGTTGTTATCAATCAAGACAGAATAGAGAACTTATATTTTACTTCAGTACTAATATTACTTGAAATGCTTCGTTTTAGAAAGAGACTTTGGAAATCTGGGTAGACATGAAATATATCTTTAAACTAACAGACTAACTAATAGACTAACAAATCTTAAAAATTTGTCTATGAAAGGGGAATTATCAAAAGTTAACTCAAGAATCTAAACCTCTATATTAGTGACCTTGCCAGTGTTTGTGTATCACATAATTTAGTATTTACTTCTTCACTGTATGAGAAAAATCCACAGAGAATGGCGGAATTTAAATAGGGTATGAAGACCAAATTAAAACTGACTTCAATAAGGAATTTTGTCATTGAATGCAAAAAGAAATGCAAAAATATTTATGCTCAGATACATGTTAAGTGTTATTTTTAAATAACTGTTTAAAAAAAGGATGTTTTAGAGGTGTACGATATCCTTTAAAAATAAAGGGAATATGATTTAAAATGTTTGAAAAATACAGTTAGGATGCAGCGGGCAACTTTCCCTATTAGACCATTAAAAGTTCTCTGAGAAATATCTGTCTTTGTCATTGTAATTGTGAAATGAATTTGGTCAATACATAAAGAAGTTTATGGGATTCCCAGATCTAGGGAATACTGGTACCCATTTTCTTTACCATCTGCTAGTTTCTCACCTCCATGTCTGTAGCTCATTAACTCTTCTGTGTAAACCACCTATACCTCTTGATCTCACAAACTTTCCTATCTACACTCCAGAATTCCCATTTGTAGATTGCTGGATCTCGTACATATAGGCCTTGTTACAAGAGTCATCGATAGCCGATAGCATATTTCTGCTGAGTGAATTGACCATAAATGTCTCTTTCCACTGCAGTGAATTCAATTTATGCAAATGTGACAAGCTAAAGATCACAGGAGTGTGAAGCTAAGTCAACAAATGGTCTGATACTAACCAAAGCTTCTCCCTGTGAACACTGACTAGTAGTGCCTACTACTGCAAGTTATCACTGAAGGTAACATAGCCAAATCCTCAGCTATCCTAGGGAGCTGAGAGGTGTTACACTTTGCCTTAACATCTGCAATATTATGGTGTATTCTGATGCAATGCAGATTTACTCAAAGGGTTTCTTATCTGTCTTTTGACAGTTACTACAAGAATTCATTCTTATCATGTGGGTTTTTTTCCATATATTGGGCCAGATTCAGATCTGTGTTGCATAAACAAAGTGCGTTTCCATTAATGTCAGGATATTCCATTGGTTTAGCTCCAGCTAGAGAGCACAAAGGTATTATGGTAATAGGCAAGCTAATAAGGAACCATATAGTTAAATTGATAAATTCCCTGAGCTCAGAATCAGGCCCATGGGGCTCAATTATGACTCCTAAAAGTCTGAACCACATTGGGAAGGGGGAAGAGGTGCCTTGGTTGAGTGGCAGTGCCTGGAGGCATTTTGCCTTTGTAAGGCATAATGCCTCTGGGGAAATCGGGGGCATCACAGTGAGCACTGGGATTTGATGCACCTTGGAAAAAGTGTAGGCAGTGCTTCACCCATTGTAGGTCTATGGTTGACACCGTGGTGGTGGGGACATGCTCTCTGGGGCTAGACAGCACCATTAGCTGTCCTTCCTTGTGTCCTTCTGGTCATGGAGAGGTGAATTACGGCTGTTTCCTGTCTGATTGTGCTTTTGGGGACAGGGAAGAGGACTTCTAGTCTCCTGTCCTGCCCCGATGTCCGTGCCCTGCCGGAGCAGTTCCAGTTTTGTGTTTAGAAAACTGCACATTTGCATATCAAGCTTTCAGTGAATACTGGATGTTACTAAAAATTACTTTTACCACCACAGGATGATACAGTATTAAAAAAACCCAAACCAATTGAGGGAGTCCTTTTTCTGTGCAAAAGTTTATTTGTGCAGTTTGCTCTGCACAAACCCTTGTGGAACTCAAGAGTTTTTTTGGTTGATTGAAATTATGGAAACCTGGGAAATGTATTTACTATTAAGCATTTACTTCCAGTACTGTTAAAATCCAAGTACTAAATACAGGAACTCTGTTCAGGCATATATGCATATGTGTACAGACTGTCTCTCACACATGTGCACACACACACATATGCAGATATATTATTTCTTTTCCCACTTCATTTGTGAAATATTAGGAAGTAAAAATAGTGTTTATTAAACCTCATAGTGATTAGAAGTATTAAAGTATTACAGACAATTGAAAAAATAAAATTTTGTGTGATTTGTTTGACATTTAAATGTAATCTGCTACTATTTGTCATAGAGGTATTAACACTTTTGTAAATTGTATCTTTGTAGCAGAGAATATTAGTATGTAGTTTAAGGAATTCCTTTCTATATTTATATTCTTAAATTCTGTTTTGTAGTTTTCACTCTTATAGGCAATCTATAAGCACCTTGTGTAATGAAAACAAGCAGAAATAGAAGGAGACAAATGTGAAAATATAGTTTAAATAAAATTAAAACATCAGAACTTAACTGTCTATTTTATAATAGTTCTTGTGAACTTGTACAGTGTTTCAGTATATAGTTCTGCAAACTGTCCCATTTGAAAAAATGGTAACTTGCTATTTGTATTTTATATTAACTGGATGTGCTATTCTCAAACACTATTTTGAAATAAAAATCTTTATTTTGAAACTTTGGGATATCTTCTTCTAGTCTTGCCCTGTTACTCTGCTGAATGATAATTTCATGATCTTATTTGTGATTTTTCTGTTTTAACACTTACTGAAAGCTTTGGCCTTTGGATGATTTGCATGGAGGGTGAGCCAGCGTAGTACGTATGGAGCTAAAGCAACTCAGGTGCTGGAAGCTGCACTAGCGTGAATCTCCAACAGTAAAAAACAAGCTGAATATAGAGGATAGTCGATTCAAAGTATTGCAGTAGACATATTAAGGTCTAATGGCCTTTGTGGCCTACAAAAATGAAGGCTTATACACAGTACCACTATTTTAAAGTAAGGTATGTTTTCAAAATCAAGTTAGTTTGAACACAGATAGAGTAGACTGCTTCATCTGTGATTTAAGCAAAGATTTTTTTCCTGTTGGCTGAAGCTGACTGTGAACATGCCTGTGCTACTTTAAAATTGCAGAAACTGCATGTCTACAGTCTTTTGCACTAATTTTTCTCAGTCTATTTTAAGTTTATTGAATGTTCTACCATGTCTGTGTATACGTCAGCCCTTAGAGGGTCTAAAATAGTTGTAATATGTCTCCTCTGGGCATTGCAGAGGTAATGCGTTAAAACTGACAGAAATTCTGTGCTTGAATGTGTAGCAAGAAGTCTTGCCGTTGAGACTGCAACAAACTTCTCTTAGAAAATAATTGCTCATGAAAGAGAACTAATAAAAGCATAAACAAATAGTACTGTACAAGATGCATTACAGGTGTTCTAGCTGGTACCTATAATACATAATATTTCTTGAAAGAAGTGGCTTCTGTGAAGAGGGATCATGATCAACATTTGGGAGCTTTTGGGTTGAATATTGACTCTTATTTCAACGATAGTACTTGTGTGAAGAACTGTTTGCGGAGTTTGGTGAATCATTGGTTTTATAAAGTAATTTTCTGAATGAAAAGCTTTTTTGAGCTGTTCACACATTTTTTTTAAAAATTGTCTTAAGAATCGCAATATTTTATATATGTTCTTGGAGAGCAATGCCAATTGGAATGATGTATTTCCACAGTAAAGCTCCTTTTGTCAGAATCCTTCCAACTTTCTGAAAGGCAGCAGATGTATCTGGAATCTTACTCTTAGCCCCAAAATTAAAGACTAGAGAAGTATCTCCCTGGTATCTTCCTTCTGTCCTGCTCTGTCTATATGTGAGTGTGCACACCATGTGTTGGAAGACTTCAGGTAGTGTTCATGGTGACAGTAATAGCTCTAGAATCCTACAGGTGTTAATTTTACTTTTTTTCCTACCTTCTAACTCTTCTGCCAGTTCTTTTAACTTACAAAGAGATCAGGGGTCCTTAGTTCAGTTTTAGCATCAGGATATTGAAAGAAGTTCAATAAAAATAATACCCTGCACCCACTTCTATGATGCGCTTGTTCACCGTGCTCAGTATATTCGAATGTGAAGTTGATTGCTTGTACAGAATTCAGACTCCTCATAAGCACTTGCTTATACTATTGACCACTGATTTGGTGCTAGTGCCATGAAAGGACGGCCTTTCTCTTCTTTAGAAGTCTTTGATATGATAGGCTATTTCTGCTATAGTTGGAAAGGGAGAAATTTCTCTGAACTACCATTCTGCAAACAGGCAGATTTTGAATTTGA